CTTCTTAGATTCATGTAGTGCCAAAGTTACCAGTGTTTAAAGAGACATTAGTCTGTCTTCTTCAGAATAAGACAGACTGTAGAATAAGACAGTAGTCTGGCTTATTTTATCTTTCGGTGCTGAGGCTGGGCACAGTTAATGCCAAGGTGCCCTTGTGCAGAGGGGCTTGAAGTTTGAAAAATAAAAATACCTGTAAACAAGACGTGGGTTTTACGGTAGCCCTGGTGCACCGCGGATGCCCGACGGAGCCCTCCATTCCTTTGCAGAGATGTTCACGCAAGCAGTTTGCATAACCCCCCGAACCTGAACGGTCTCATCACCAAAAAAAGCCCTCCTTTCACGCCAGGGTATCGTCTGTTGTGCAGCACGGCGGCAGCGAGAGCGGCTCGCTTGGCTGGGTCGCTGCCTCCCAGCAGCTTGCTGAAAAGCTTTTCTCCCCACCGTGTGCTTTTTCCCTGTGCGTAGGCTTAGGAGCAGAAGTCGACGTACGTGAGTTTGGAAAAAGAGCAGGCTGGTGTACTCTTGTCCGGTGCCAGAGGCGTGACAAGGAGAGGGGTGGCGAAGGGATGGGAGTCTCAGCCATGATTTGGAAGGACTAGGGGAAGGCTGCAGTATATATCTGCTCTTCCAAGGAGAAGTTTCCTCCAGATACAGTAAGAGGATGTCTTTTCTCCTGGGGTTTCTGTTCATCACAGCAGCTGCAAAAAGTGCATGAAGAACGTTACCATCTACACCTAGCAATGACCTATATCACCCCTAGGGTTTTTTTTTTTTTAATATGTTTCTTAAAAGGCAGACGCACAGAATCCTTTGTACAATAGATGATGGGATTCGTATTTTAATACGTTTATTTAGTTGTTCCCTTGATGACGCTCTTGGACCTGGACAGACTTTCACTAAAGTCCAGTCCGTCTCAGGTGTGGAATCCCGGCTTGTTGGGCGTCAATACATAGCTTTTGGGAGCCCTTTGTTTTGGGGTAAGATGTTTGCCTATGGGCACTGTTGGTTGGACCTGTCTTTAATTTCCCCCAGTGAAAAGAATTAGAAGTAACTGCCATGTTCTGCTCCCATGCCTGGTTCCCCTTAATTTATGTGGGGGGATATCTTTTGGAGTCCAACAGAGTGACTCTTACAGTGATTATAGGGATAAAAAACATAATATGAGGACGGGTGGATGGTTGGCCTGTCAGTTCTGCGAGTCCGTGGAAAACAGAGGCTTGTGTCCAGCAGTTTGTTTGTGGTGCGCGTCAGGGGAGGAGTAGGTTGAGTCCCTCGAGGTCAGTCACACGCCTTCAGTAACAGGAGAGCACAGGGTAAACTGTGTGAGTTGTTCGGTTTGAGCTGGAACGTGCACCAAAAAGTCAAATTTCAAGTGTTTTGGGGAAACAAAACAATAATTTTAATACTTAACAAGAACAAATGCACTTGCCAAAATAAAGTTTCTTTCCAGAGAAAGACAGTTTCTTCAGTTCTGATAGTCCTCTTCACTTCTAATAGTTTCCTTCCAAACTTTGCTTAAGTTGTCCAGCGGTAGCCCTGCTCTTCCTTGGTTGGGCTCAGTGACGGCTGGAGGACCTAACCGAGCTTTCCTTCCTCGGCTTGCTCAGTTTTCCCACTGAGCTCTGTGCAGTGAGTCTCCAGCGGGTCTAACAGGGGTCTGCAGGGTGAAGTGCTTATCCTCCGTGTCTGCCCGTTCTCTTATGAACGGGTTGTAACTAGCAGCTCCGTCCCTGTTGTGCTGCCCCAACGCCAGGTTTCAGAGGTATCCGTTACGTCAGGTTTCTTCTCCTCTGTGAAGACGAGCCAGGCTTCTAGGACTGGGGTATGCATAACCCAGGGGCAGGGGAGGAAGGAGTATTTTCATACCTTCCGTCGCGGCAGTTTGGCTCGTTGACGCTGCCGAGATTGTCTCGTGAGTGTCATCTTGGCAACGCGAGGGTGGCACCCCAGTCTGGCAGGTAATGCCCGTGTGCAAGGGCCAGGCACCTGGTGTACTCAGCTCTCTCCGGGTAGACTGTGGTCCAGTGCCCCAGAGAGGGCAAAGCCTTCAGCTTCGTACCGATCGGAGGACTGTTCTTTGCCTCTCTCCTTTCTCAGGCTGGACAGAGGAGCAGCTATTTCCCTCTTTGCTGGCTCCCATCCAAGATCTTTAGCGTATCCGCAGTCTGTTGCGGAGTCGTAGGCTCCAGTGTATGCTGCTAGCACTGGAGATTTGCCCGATGACTGCAATCTTGCAATTACATGTCATTGTTTTGATCTGGGGAGACCTTTATACTGTCCTCCTTTGTCCATTTGTCCCTTGCTGAGCTCTCTCCATTCTCACTGATATATAATAGGAGCAGCAATTACCTATCTTAGCCTGAGAAGCCTCTTTTGTAGCTTTTTACTGCAAGGATGTGCATCAGATATGCTCTCTAATCTGTTCTCCCAGAGGGAATGCAGGTAACTGAGGCACCAGGCAGCTCTGCTGAGGTCAGGCGTGCGCTGGAAACTACTCTGCTTGTTTGAGGTATCAGGAGGGTGTCAGTGCCCCAGCTCCGGGCCCTGCAGCAATGTGCTCAGCATCACCTCGCCTGCTGACAGTCTCCTCGAGAGAACTGAGGAGGAGGTGTGTTTCCCTCTGTAGGAATTTGGGCTTTCCCTTACCTCAACACGTGACTTTGTATTGTAGAAAACCCGCTTAAAGCCTGCTGATACCTGTTGAATTTGTTCCACGTTTCTCTTCCTGCTTGCTGATGATGCTGTGGTTTGTCTGTAGGTTCACGCGTGGGAGATCTCAGACCAATTGCTGCAGATCCGGCAGGATGTGGAATCGTGCTATTTCGCAGCACAGACCATGAAGATGAAGATTCAGACTTCCTTCTATGAACTCCCCACAGACTCGCATGCTTCGTTACGGGACTCGTTGCTGTCCCACATCCAGAACTTGAAAGACCTATCACCTGTCATCGTAACCCAGGTAGGCCCTGCGTTGCGCGGAGCGCAGAAGGGGGAAGGAGCCGTTCTCTAAATGGCTGCAAGAGAAAGAAGTCTGAGGCTGCGTTCAACACTAAAGTCTGGACAGTTAGTCTTAATTGGCTGTTCAGAGCAGACTGGTAGTCAGGCTTGTCACAGCCCTGCTAGAGCCGTTCTTTACGGTAATTGCTAGCTTACTTGGAGGAGGAAGGATAGATGCTGCAGGTCACACTGATTGTGGCCAGCTCCAGGTCTGGCACTTCTGGTTTTCTGAAACAGAGCCTTTGGACTCCCTTGGCTGCTTCTCCTCCAGGGCAGAGCAGTGACAACAGAGAAAGTCAATGCCTGTGGCCAGCCGGTCGTGTCTCTGGTACAGGATTGTTTGCTCTTGCTGATCGTTTGATTCCTTTAGTTAAATCAACTGCTTTATCCCATTGTTTGCTGTTTGGAGAGGGTGAGAGGAGGAACGGCTGTTCCTGTTTTCTTTTTTTTTTTTTTTTCTCTCTCTCTCTCTTTTTTTTTTTTTTTTTTTCTCCCCCCACTCCCTGCTGTGCTCAGCAATGGAAACAAAGGGCAGATTTGCCCAGCAGTGCTCCGAGTGGCTGGAAGGATTGCTTCTGAAGTGCTTTTATATTCTCGGAGGATCCCTTCCTTCTGAGAATATGCGTTCCAGTTATCGCTCCGACTCACTGACACAGCTCTGTGGCACGGTGATGTTCGACGCTGTGCAGCCTGAAGCAAGGCTGGCTGTTCAGACCCTAAATAACCCAAAGGAGAATATCGCATGTTCCTGTTGGGGCAGTGGATGTTCTGAACTTGACCACAGTTGCAGCGGGATTGGGTCTGGATGATTTTTTTTTCCAATTCCCCCCCCCTCCCCCCCAAAAAAAACCAAAAACAAAAACCACAGCTATGCTAGTAACATTTGAGAATAGATAAGGCACTAAAGGAAGGACATTTGTGATGTACCTTCTGACAGCTGCTTTGAAATGAGTTCTCTGTAGCTGGGAAAGCACAGGGCACAGGTGTGTCGTGGTGTAGGAGGATGCAAGGAGTAGTTCAGACTTGCAGACCCCCGACTCGTCAGCCCGACAGAACTGAGTGTATTGCCTTTGGTGGAGCGATAGGACCAGCACTGCCGTAGAACTGCTAGAAATACCTCTGACAAATAGGTATCTTAAAAGATTCCGTGCTTTCCATCACTTAAGTACGTCATCAGCAAGAGACAAACTGCTAAGACCTGTTGTGTAGCCCCTTCTTTCCAAAGGGATTATGCACACGACAGGGATATGGTGAATTAACCCTCTTCCTTTGCTCTTTTTGTTGTTCTATACTGTAGTGCAGTTGATCTCCTGTTAGCTTCCTGACCATCTGGCCTGAATCTAGGAATCTTGGTTTTAGGAGTAGGATTTCAACAATCACTGGTCTGAGGTGTGTTTTTAATCCTGTTCTCTTCCCCTTTTAGCTTGCATTAGCAATAGCAGACCTTGCCCTGCAAATGGCTTCTTGGAAAGGCTGCGTACAAACACTGGTTGAAAAGTAAGTAACTTTATATCATTAAATTCTGCATTGTTCATTGAGTAAACAGTAATGGGTGGACCTGCACAATCCAAAAAGGCACACAACAGGAAATGGCCAGGGGACAGGGAAGTATGCTGATCGATAACTTCACGTGGCTTGGATTATAGTAGGGAGATAGGCTCTCGTCGCTGTTTGGCGTCCTGAGGCGCTGCATTCACTTTGCTAGTGCAGCCGTGCCCAATTTTTGTATGATGGAGTTTTTTTGCTGGCATGGGGCTGCTGTGTGTTCACTGACGTGAGATAGCATATGCTGTAGTGCTATTATACTGAGACTGTCTTGTTCCAGACAATATCACCATGCTGTGGTGGTCCCATGGTATTGTGGAAAGGGGAGGGAATTTAATTTGTCTGGGCAATGGTAGTTGGACGTGATTTGCTTGTAGGACAGGAAAACTTTTGCAGTTTTTTTCAAATTGGCTGTTGAAAATCTTGTGCCTGACTCAGGGGTAAAGCTCATCTCACTAATGCTCTGCCTGTACAGCTGGACACTCGAATGTCTCTGGAACAACTCTTCCATCTCCAACTGTGTAACCTAATTTACAGTATTTAGCTTTTGGTGTGCTTAGCTATCACCTGCCTTCATGCATTGTCCTTCGTCTCCTTTGTTTCAGGTACAGTAATGATGTTACATCACTGCCCTTTTTGCTGGAAATCCTCACGGTGCTGCCAGAGGAGGTTCACAGCCGATCCTTGCGCATTGGAGCCAACCGCCGTACTGAAATCATAGAGGATCTGGCTTACTATTCCAGCACGGTCATCTCCCTGCTGGTAAGGAGATGTGACGCTTGCAGTGACTGAGCGCCGTTACACCGTTGAGGAAGTTCACGCAGTCATTTTTCCTGCTCTGTATCATTGATTCAGGTTATTGCCGGTTGGGCATGATCAAAAAGCTGTTTGGCAGCTGACAGGAAGTCTGGGTGAAACAAGCTGATTTTATAGTCCAATTCCAAACAGAAGAAAGTTTTAATCAGAATCACAGTAAGGTTCCTATTGTTAGCACCGGACTGAAAATTGAGCTGGTGGTGGAAACTTAATAACTTTCTCATCCTCTCAACTGGACTCTCCCTGTGAGGACTGTGTCGTTGTTGTATGTGATGATACAGAGTGTCAGGGCTTGTCTTCCAGCCCTGTACATTTAAGTTCAGGAAAATGCCGTTAGTCTGCTGGGCTGTCAGTTCAGTAATTGGCTAGGACTGAATTCCTGCCCAGGCTGTGGCTGTTCTGGGTTATCTGATGGCTGAGCAAGAAATTACTTCAGCCCATTATGGTATGTGTATTGATCTGTTAGAATAGGGTCACTGAGGTACTTAGAGGCTTGGACTTCTGCCACTCCTCATGCCTTCTCCCCGTCAAACATAAGTACGCGTGTGATAAGCTGAGATTGTGTATTTAGCTGCACATCATATTTAGCACTGACCAAACAGCATTACTGTGACAACATCAAAACTGCACAAATGGGGAGAATGTAGCTGAATTTCCTAGTTGTTTTTCAGAGGCGTTTCCCCTTTCAGGGAGCGTTCAGACTCTCAGGAACCAGACCGTTTTGTGGCCCAAAACAGGGCAGGTTTGGCGAGCAGGATATAAGCGTGGAGGTGAATTGCTTCAGAGGCTGAAAGGAGACGGTTGAAAAGAATCCAGCCCTGCTCCCTGCTAGCTCCTTTCCTTTCCACACAGCCACTTCTCATTTTTTTTGCAGTGTTGTTTGAGTTCAGTAAATGAGAGGCCAAGCTGATCCCTGACTTAAGATTCAAATGAAGCATGTACCTTAGCGCCTAGAGCTTCCTGTTAATTTTTACCGTTTCATGGTGCTTATTTAAATAAAGAAAGATAATGTACCCTTGGCTGTGCGTATTAAGGCTGTAATTCCACCAAGCAGCTGGTTAATGTCACCGTTCTCCAGATGGAGTCAAACTTTGCCTTTAATTATAGTATCTAGTCAGAAGTCATTTCTGTGCTTTGCAGCCCCATCTTTCCTTGCTTTGCTGCCTTGCCCTCTTGGGTCTGTGCTGTCTCTCTGCTGTCTTCCACCTGCCTTCCTTTTGCCTGGCTGGTCTACTGGCCAGTATTCCTCTGTTAATTGAGCTGTGGCAGTTGAATACGGAGGGGCCTTAGTCTTTCGGATCCCTGATACTTTATCCAGTTTAAATTACCCGTATTTTGCTGCGCCTTTTTTATGCCGTTTCCCTGAATTACAGAATCGCAGAAGCTGCCACGTTTCGCTTTGATGTTTGAGTGTACCCTTTGCTGTTAGACTGTAGTTTAGGTTTCCCTTTCACTGAGGAGCAAAGCTCTGTGTAAGCTTTTAGTTTTACATGTGAATCTGTTCCCTTCTCCTTTAACTGATATTGCTTGCGGGTCTTTTTTAGCTCTAGGCACGCAGCGTCTCTGCATGGCCCCGGTACCGTGCTGCTCAGAAATGGGCAGGGTGTTCTGGGTTTGCTGTCGAGAGGCAGAGAGAAGGGGAATGCCTCCTCCGTGGGATGCCGCTGCCCAGAGACCCCTCAGCTCTCCTAGTGCATCGCTCTGTGTTTCCCCCAGGCTTGTGCGACCTGCGATGTCCTTTTTCCCTGCTTGCCTGTCGGATGTTAGTTGCAGTCCTGCTAGACTTCTCCGATAGGACACAATGTCAAACTCGACCCTCAGTAGTTTTGTCTGTGACTTCTCATTTTGTGTCATCTACTCCTGAAGTTCGGTCATTTAGTTTGAAGAAAAGGGTGGAGTACAGCTAATTAGGCTCCTAGGGCTTGGTTTAAATTTCAGTCATGCTGCTTTTTGCCTGGTCTGAAGCCTTTGCAGAAAGTCGTCATTCTGTTTCCACGCCGCTTTTTGCGAGTCTGTGATTAAGGAAAGCCACAGGCAGTAGTTGGAACAGAAATATTAGCGTGGCAGATGCATATGGTGGGTGTTTCAGTTTTACTTTGCATGACGCCTTAGTTTTGCTTTTCACTTGGAGGCATAGGGAGGAGACTTCATTTCTCATAGTTATTCTGGGAACCCTGAAGGAAGGGGGGGTCGTGAAGATCAAGAACGTAGCAGGACGCAGAGTTGCGTATCCTCTGTCCGTCGGTAACTCAGCTCTTGTCCACGAAGGCGAAGTTACTCTCCCCCGATATGCTCACTGCATGTATCGCGTGGTACACAAGGTACGTGCCATTACCACCCCAGGCGTTAGGGGGACCTGCTTCCACCTCTTCCGTAGGCTTAACTGGCTTTGAACGAGTCCTAGCTCAATTCTGAAACTTCTCATCTTCCTCTTATGCTGCCTAAAAGCTCTCTGCTGTGCCTTCCCTCTTAGCTGTCTCCAGGCCTTAGCGCTTTTTCTGGGAGGCTCTGGAGAAGTCTGGCCGCCAGGTTGGTCAGGCGTGCAAGATCACCTTGCTCTGACTGCTCACGGCCTCATCAGAGATGACGCGAGGAGCTGATGTTGGATGAGGAAGGGTCATAGCCAGGTCAGCCAGACCCAGTGGCAGGAATTAAATCCCTGAGCACATTCCCCTGTAGGGCCTGTGCCGAGCCCTGAAGCCCCCAACAGCAGCGCGGCGGCCGTTCTCCGGATCGCTGCAGATGACCCGCGTGCAGTTACGGCTGCTGAGAGCAGAATGGGGCAGGCGATTTCTCAGGTGGGCCCGTCATTTCCTTGCCTTGCTGTCCAAGCTGTGCCTGTACGTTTTTCTCTGTCCCGGTATGCTCTGCATCTATGACGCTCTGTTCAGACTTCCTCTGCATCTGCCAGGAGCTTCCTTAGCAAATTCCAGCGTGGGCATTTTAACCAGCTGCCTGCAAAAACAAAGCTAAATTTCCTGCATAGGATGTAAATGTTAGATTCACTTTCTTGGGTTACAAAAAGACTTAATTAAAAAAAAAATTGCACAGAAACTGTGATAAAGTACAAGATCAGCCTCCAGAGTTAAAGTGTGAGGCGATGAATGAGGAATTGCTTGGCTGAGTCTAGGCTCCCTTCTGGGGAGAGGGGGGATCCGGGACCTTCATCCAGGCTCTGCCTGTCCAACTGTTTTCCCTTTTCCTCAGTTAGGTTGAGGTGTCCTTTGGGGTTCAGCTGTGGCAAGGGTTGTTGTTAGGTACTGTTGAGCAGTAGAAGAATTTGCCATCACTGGAAATAAGAGCCACTAGCTACTGTCAGGCCCAAATATCCATGTCTTACACTGCGATGGCGTGTACAGGCTGTCACTAGGTTGGCCTTTGGGGTAGGTCTGACCGTTAGGACTTACCTTCTTGCCAGCAGTCCTTGTTTTGTGGTAAGGGATATAACTTTGAGATTAGAGTGAATTTCAGGGATTTATTATGTATGAATCTCATCAGCGTCTCTGCTCCATCAGTCTGAGACAGAATTCTGCAGAAAACTGATGGGCCGCAAATGGATGAGAAGGTTCAAGCTGCTTTCTCACTTCTGTAACAGTAGCTGAGGTTGATAGGTTTTGGCTCAGCTCCTACATCTCATTTGATTGGGGGCTACTTTACTCGGGGGCAGCCAGGGGTGTTGGAAGCAGTCCGCTTTCTTGAGCGTGCCTCACGTGGACTTTCAGAGCTGCAGTGCTTGGTGTTCGCTGCTCTTGAGAGGATGCTTTCAGAAATGCTACGTTCCTGGTGACAAGAACAACCTGGGGACTTGGACACCTTAGTTCTATCAAGCAGATACAGAAGTCCTCTGTGCTGGTGCAGGTATCCTTGGGTGCCCTGGACTCTTACCAGATGGATATCTTCTGGGTCAGAGTGCTTTTTCCATGTATTTCAATATTTTCCATGTCACTGCCGTTTGGTTGTTCAAAGTTGTGCACATCTCCTGAAGGAGTCGATTCAAATTGGGATGTTGAACACGCTGGACTGTCCCAGTTCCTCTGTATCTTGCTAAGTATCATGGAGGAGCTCTTGCTAATCATAGAGACTCCAGGATGACTTTTCAAAAGGGTTTGTTTGGGGTTTTTGTGGTTTTGGGGTTTTTTGAGGGGGCTTGTAAAATTATGTGGTGGCTCCTAAGTGGTTTTCCCTTGTCCTCCTGTAGATGACGTGCGTGGAGAAAGCAGGCAACGATGAGAAGATGCTCATCAAAATCTTCCGGTGCTTGGGGAGCTGGTTCAACCTCGGTGTTCTGGATAGCACCTTCATGGCAAACAGCAAGTTACTGTCACTCCTCTTCGAGGTGCTGGTGAGTATGTCTTTCACCTGCTGGGACTGGGAGCCTGCAGTGCTAGGATGGTGTTGCTTTTAAATCCAAGAGTATTGGTCTGTTTGGCATGTTGTGTGCTGACTGTCGCCTGTGATTGAGTAGCGATGCTGCTTTTCCACACCGAGTGTGCAGGTACCGAAGGTGAGTTTCCTCCTTTTTTCCTGTCTTGAGTAGGAACCTTCCAGTCTTTACCCTGATCAGCTCCTTAGAGTGAGCTGTCCCTCTCTGCTAGCAGGTGAGGAAGAGCAAGCTGTCTCTATCTTTTTAATAGCTCTACACTGACAGCTCCAGGCCTGAAATGACAGTCTTCGTTTTGAACCTGTCATCTACCTCGAAGGACAGTTGGAGAGTAGCAGCACAGAGCGATCGCTGCCGCTGCAGTTTCCCACGCCATCTTCCCTGACGTGCTGCCTCCTATTGGCACCGGGAAGCGTAGAAGGCACCACATAAGTAACACCTAATATTAGCTGATATCTCGAGGAGAAAAGTAGAAGTACGCTTACAAACAGTGCTGCTTCTGACTGTTTGCTTGGTCCTTAGTTCAGGAACTTGATTTCTCCGGACTAAACCGATGTCGTCACTGAAGTGATGCAGTGAGTGTGGAGATGCATGGCCTGCACAGAGTTCCTGAATGCAGAACTGCTCAGGGAAATGGGAGAAGCACCCAAATTCTCACAACCTTTCAGCTCCATTTGCTTTGCTAATGGATATTGTTATTTACTGGCATTTGGGAGGGAGGAGATTTTTTTCTTTTTTTAAACCTTGTGAGATTTTTTTTCCGTAGTAAGAGAAAACTGAATAGCAAAGGTTTGCAGTAGATGGAATTAGAGAAAACCTGCTGCCTATGATTTAAAAGTGAAATATTCTGGGAGAGGTGCAGGTTTACTGGAGTCTGTCACCCATGATGAGCAGACAAAGACAGATAGAAAGTATCGGCAGAGCTTTTCGGTGTAAACAAACAAACAAAAAAAGCATGTGGGATTTTTTTGGCTATTTGTATGGAGGAAAGAGCATCTGCCGCCTGTTCAGTATTATTCTTTCCTGTCCATCATCTGTTCTGACAGAGAAGATATGTGTTCAGAGGTGAGAACCATTTGCTTTCTTCTTGGAAGGGCATTTAAGGCTCCTAAATCTCTTTTAAGCAGATGCTTTTCCCTGGTTTTACTGAAGCAGTTCTCTGCGTTCCTGCTAACTGGTGTCCGTGACGCACCTTCTCTCTGTGCTGCTTGAGAATCTCAGCTTTGCTGCGGAGCGGGCTGGTGCCTGGGGAAGGCAGAGGTCATCGCTGTCTCTGCGGCATGTCGGACTAAGACAGGACTGCAGCAGAAATAGAAGCTTTGTCTGGCTCAAGCAGGAGCTGATGAGACAGGTTCATCGTTTCTATGGTGGCTGCAAAACATCCAGAGCAGGATAGAAGAGTTGACATGGAGAAAAAAGCATTTCTAGCCGTTGCTGTTGGTAGTCACTGCAGCCAGAGTAGGGTACCAGGTTTGCTTTTGAGCATGCTTAGGTTTTTGTGACTTTAAAAGAGGAATAGTTTTGGTCTGAAACGCTGTGCTTGATCCTTTGTCCAAGGCAAATTGTCTTACAGAAAGCTCTGAGTGAAAAATATTTGTGCGTTACTTGGAGTAAGTTTGCCATCTTCATGGGATAGAAGTACTAGTGGTTAACTTCCTGGCTCCGAAAGTTGTCTGTGCTCCTCCTTGAAGAAACTAAATTTGTTTTAATACTAAAATCGGTTTTGCTTTTTCCCCAGGCTTTCAATAAAACAGTGTATTTTCCTTCTTTTCTGACACTTCACCTCAGGAAATTAACTCTTGAATGACTTTTTTTCTTTTTTCCCTATCTGAATGTGGGACAGCTCAAGAGACCAGTAAAAGGAGGAGGCTGGGAGTATCCTGCGTCACTGCAGCAGGGAGAGCAAAGAACGAACAAATGAAAAGCAAGAATTCCCCAAGGATACAGGTTCCTGCTGCAGCGCTGCTCGGACCCGCAGCCCAGCCTGAGTATTATCCTTGCCTTCCTCCGTTGTTAATGGGAGCCCTCATTTGCATCTGTTCCACGGTAGAGAATAAATAAATGACAAATGTAAATGAGGGCTCCCGGAGTGTTCAATGGCAGAAGGAATAGACTATGCGCGGGCTGGGCTACAGGTCTGAGCGGTGCTGCAGCAGAACCTGCATCCTCCGGGACATGGGGTGTTTTGCTCACAAGTCTTTTGTTACTTCTACGTTTAGGTGTTTTTTTTCTCTCCCCCTTTGCACCTTCATGTGGGATCCCGAGGCTTAAAGAATTGCTTTCTAAATGCTCTGAGATCTCTCATGAAAGGGGACACATAGGCACACACGAAATTACTGTTCCTTTGTTTCCTCTCTCCACTTCACTGTTTGCTTTCTTCTCCTCCTTAGTATGCCAATTTTGTCTCCCTTCTTAATTGCCCAGGGCTCCGTGGGAGCCATTAAAGCGCCTGTTAAATCAGCCTTGCACAATTGCTATAAATGTCTACCAACCGGGACCTGAAATCCACACTTGTTCGCCCCAGACCATCACAGTGATAAATATTTCACGTGTGCTTCTGTGAAACCTCGTCGCCTTCCCTACGCAGTCAGGGATAAAAACACTACAACGTTTTGTCTGCTTCTGAGTTACCCCGGGTTTCGTTTGGCCTCGTTCCTCTGATATCTGCAGCTCCCAGGGAAAGCTCAGTTCGTATCCCATTGCGGAGGGTCAGTTTTGACCTCAAGCGTCCATGCTGGTAAAGCCGCGCAGGCTATCCAGGGCTAGTAGAAGCGGACTGTTGGGAAGCTGTCGCTATGTAGAAGCTGTAGGAAGTATGTCAGGAACAGAAAGGAATCGAATAGGATCTGCAGTAGCATCTCATTCCTCAAGGTGTAATCACTGGGCTCACTTCTGCTTCCTGTTTCTTGCAGCAACAAGACAAGACATCATCAAACCTCCATGAAGCTGCTTCGGACTGTGTGTGCTCAGCGCTCTATGCCATCGAGAACGTGGAGACAAACCTGCCCCTGGCCTTGCAGCTTTTCCAGGGCGTCCTCACTCTCGAGACTGCCTATCATATGGCTGTAGCACGGGAGGACTTGGACAAGTAAGTGAACTTACAGTCGTGGCTGTGCCGAGAAAGGGAGGAGAGCTGCAGTAATTACTTGTCGTTGTGTCTGTCCGCAGTTGTTTTTGGAATCTGTGGTGTGCGCATGTAGCACTCTGAAGTCGCTTGTGCAAATCAGTATCTGTTGAACAAAAACAAGTGAGCAAATTATTTCTTTGCCCTTGATGCACCGACTTGTGCTCCAGGCATGTGTGATCAGCTCAGACTTTGACAGAGAGCTATGACTGTTACCACGCTAGACTTGCTGGGCTGCTTGGTCTTGCTTGCTGTGGGCAAAAGACAAGGGAAAATACCCTGAGGTGCAGCTGATGCATTGCCAGCCTTGAAACAGTTAGAGGTCGGAAGTGACTTGCTGCTTCTAGAGCCTTCTCTCTACAGATTTCTGTACGTGGCTTGGCTATCCCAAGTGGAGAGGGGGGCCTGGATGTGCCCGTTGTGTCGTCAGCCCCTTGTTCTTGATTTATCAAGGTATGAAGGCTGTGATTTCTTACAAAGCACATTCAAACTGTTGCTTCAAAAAACTATTGCTTCACATGTGTTGGCTGTTATGAAACATTGCTCTTCTGGTTGGAAGCCTTCTGATCTTCAGCCTCGATTGATTCTAGACCAGTTTATACCTATTCTGATTTGCCAACATTGTCTTAACTTGAATAGCTCCTCAGCTGGTGCTTATTCACTAATATGTTTGTAGGTAGGAAGCAGTCAGCCTTCGGTTTGCTGAGCTAAACCAGCCTCGTTCTTTCTGTCCGTTAAGACAGCTTTCTTTTCCCCTTATGATCCTCATAGCCGTTTTCTGTACGGTTCCCGTTCTGAATTCAGCCTTTGTTAGCGTGAGGGTCAAACAGGCACGTGCTGCTCCAGGAGAGATCTCACTCTTTCATGTTTACAATGTGGCATCCCTCTGTGTAGGGAACGCCTTGCCTGACATCTCGTGCCTTTCCCGTGGTCCTGTGGCATTAATGTCTTGGACCTGCTTTGACTTTAGTCCACCCACAAGTTGTCAGAAGCTTCCAAAGCTCTAGCTTTCAGCGGAAGTTCGAATTCTTATGAACCTATACTTTGTGCCATAAAATCCATCACACTTTTCCTGCTCGCATTTGGATGATTTTCATTCTTCTGCGCAGATAGTCCATCTCAGCTTTATCAGTGAAGTTCATTAATGCTTGCTCCTCCTTTTTATGTAGCTGTCACTAATGAGCATAGACAGATCAGTTGTGAGACTGATCTGGAACATCCCTTGCACCTCCTTCAAAACTGGTATTTCCCCTTCCAGCACTGCACGCTGATCTCCCTGATGGCGAATTCTTCTCCTACCCCCACAGCTGTGCTTTATCCAGTTTAAATGATTTCCGTGTAAACACCATGACTAAGTCTTTCAAGTCCTGCTCTGTGCCATTTCTCATGTCTCAAAACATTGCTGATAAGAATTAGGTGGGCCCAGTTTAATTTTGGTAACCCCATGTTCCATTTAGCCCACTTCCCCTCTTCTGTATATTTAGAAAACATTGTAAACAAATTGCTCATGCTATTGAAGTCAGATTAATGGGCCTATATTTGCCAGACCCTCTGCCCCCATTCTCAAACATGAGTGCAGGACTTACAGTTTCCTTAGCCACAAAATAGCAAGGCCAGTAGTCAAACTCTAGCACAGATCTGCCTGGCGTCCAGTTTTTCAAGAGTTCTAGGGTGGAGATTAGCTAGTCCCCACTCCTTCCACTCGGGAAATAAGCAGATCATCATATCTGTCTCTGCAGTCCTTCTGCCTTCGTCCCTGCTGTTCAGCAATGGTATTTGAAAACTGAGGCAGAGCAGTCGCATAATTTTAGCTGTGCCACAGATCTTTAATCTTGCCAGTGTCTCCAGTGCGTAGCAGTCCCAAGTGGCTTTTTATCACATCTGAAAAATCTTGTGCTGTTCTTTCAAATGACCTTGGCAGAGTCTGGCATTGGCTTGGCTTCTGGCAATTCTTGCTCGATTTCTGCTTGTCTGGGCTTTGAAAATACAGCTGTCTGCTTTTTGGTTCTCCTCCCTGACAGCCGTTCAGTTGCTTAGGGGCACTTGGCTTACCGCTGAGTCTTTTCAGATGGCTTAAGTTCAAGGCCTAACTGAATCACTCTCAACAAGTACCCCTCCCCTCATTTCATCTGGGGATGCAAAGTCCAAATAACTTCTGCACCTCTGACTTAAATTCTAAGTCTCTGACACATTAAATGAAAGCACCTCAAGCTAGATGAGTAATTAGTCTCTTAGCTTATCAAAGTTATCTCTTTTGAAATTGAAAGCTATAGTAGCATCTGTTCTTATTTATCCTTCCATTTAAAACTAATAGTCTTCAGTTGTCAGGCGTATAAAGGTCTGTTATAATGTCCTCGCTGCTTGGTAAGATTGGCTCTAAAATAGCATCTCTTCATTTCTGTGACTTTCTGAAAAACCTGGAAGCTTTCATCTTCAGGAATTTCAAGGGCATGGTATAATTAGTAGCATTTGTTCTCCAGTCTGTATTTGAGAAGATAGTCTCCCCTAAATCCTTCCAGGTGTCATGTAAATGCCCTGGTGACAGCACTGGAGGCATTAACCATGTCTGATCTGCTCCTGGGATGCGCCGTGGAGCTGCAGTGTTCTGTAGAGGGTAAAGCCTTCCAGGATGGAAAAGCTGAAGTGAGGGGACTCGTCTCTGCCTTTAGGAGAGGCTTTAGGGTACATTTGCAAGAAGCATTGGTCCTTCTCCCAACAGGAGCTGTGCTTTTCCTTAGGTCCTGGTATGTGAGAAGTCATGCCCTTAGGTGCGTTGTTCTTCTCACCCGCTAGCAGGGGTCTTGAAGGAAGACTTATCTGCCCGGAAGAAAGTGAGAGGCAGAGCTTGATTTCATTTATTTATTTATTTATTTATTTATTTATTTATTTATTTATTTATTTATTTATTTATTTATTTATTTATTTATTTTTGATTCCTGTTACTGCCTCTGACTCTGTATACCTCTCCAGAACAGGAATATTAAAATGGAAGCCCAGGACTAATGGCTTATCTTGGACCTCTCCCCAAATCACTGATGGGAGCGCTTTTATGTATGGGGAGCGGAGCGTGGCACAGTGCTCGCTCTGTGGAATACCTGCTCCATCACACCGTGCCGTGGCTTCAGCCCTCTGGCACTGAGAGCTGCCTCTGACTCTGTATACCTCTCCAGAACAGGAATATTAAAATGGAAGCCCAGGACTAATGGCTTATCTTGGACCTCTCCCCAAATCACTGATGGGAGCGCTTTTATGTATGGGGAGCGGAGCGTGGCACAGTGCTCGCTCTGTGGAATACCTGCTCCATCACACCGTGCCGTGGCTTCAGCCCTCTGGCACTGAGATGTGGCTGGGGGAAGCTCTGCATCTGTCAGATCTTTGTTGTTGTCTCTGGTTGTGGTTTGGACCTTCTGTAGTCTTTGAGTGTAGTAAATCTAGAAGGTTTTTGCTGTAGTTCAGCTACTGCCATTGCTTTTTGTCTTAAGCATAGCTTGTGTTTTTATGCAGTGCTGTCCCTTGCGTGTGCAATGGGACATCCTGGATTTATTTTTGAAGTAGATGTGTGTATTTATCATCTGAAACGTTGCACCTTCCCAGTGCTGAATTAGACCAATGTTGTTTTTTAACAGACGTTGTGTGCTGTGTCGCTTGATGCTGAAGGTTTTGGAGGTATTTTCTTAGATGGCGTGGATATTATGAAGTTTTGTAAGATATGTGTATTGGAACCCAGCACTTCCACCTACTTCTGAATAAAGCCAAGCTTCTCTCTATAACAGCGTCTCACGTTCCGTTTCCCAACTATTGATGGGGAAAGTCTAAAATGGGAGTTGATGTTTCCTGACCCTGTGCTGTGATACCTGCTATTGAATAGTCATGTGTAGAATATCTTTCTGACTTGTGCCGTTTTCTTCCTTCACCAGGGTGCTCAATTATTGCCGTGTTTTCACTGAGCTTTGCGAGACGTTCCTAGATAAGATAGTTTGCACGCCAGGCCAAGGGCTAGGTGACCTGCGGACGCTGGAGCTGTTGCTGATATGTGCAGGTCACCCGCAGTATGAGGTGAGTGAGGTTTACTGATGTTCTTCTGCTCACCCTGTCACCAAATCTTACTTAGCCAAAGTTGAATTACTGGAAAAATCTTTTCTTTATACTGTGACATGGTTGGGGGACTGCAGTTCCTGTGTTCTGCTGGCTGTGAAACCCCTGCTCTGCACTTGCAGTGCAGAAAGTATTGTGTAACTTCCGTTTCCCAGAATGGGGCTCTACTGGAAGAGGCTCTGATGCCTCCCTCATCTGTGTGCTGAAAGTATGCTGGATGTCCCTCGCGTTAGAGGAGACGGGGACTGCAAGTGCAGCTCTGACAGCCTCAGTTATTCTCTTTCCAAGTGTTAACTTCAGCTTTGTGGGAGTTTCAGTGTAACTGATGGTAACCTCGTTAGCACTCCAAGCGAAGTAAGTGGTGTTTTCCCTCAGTGCCCCTGACCATCCTTCCTGGTGAGAGCTCAGTATGACAGAACGTTGTATTTAAGATGCTGGCTCTCCCTTTTAATTTTCCACTTCATTCTTCTCTTGGGACAATTACCAAAACTGATAATTACATCTCAGCAGCTTATCTGTAGCTGACTTGTGTCCGTGTTCAGTGGGTGGAGGTTCCCTAACAGGGAGGGTATCATGCTAAATGCAGCACAGATGGGGCCAGTTGTGATTTCCTACTGCGAGTTCCTCTTTCTTCGCTCGGGTCACGTTGCGGGAGGGATGCAGTCCCTGAAATGATGGATGGGAGGTGGATCTGGACTGAGCTGATTCCCCTCCGGGAACAGGTTTTCTAGAAGCTTTTGTTACAGAGCCTAAGAGTACATCAGGACTGCGAACCAGAGGGAGAGTTAGCTAAAGAAAGAAAGCTGCTCTGATGCAACCCTTTGGGGCTTGTTTGCCACAGAAATTGTGCAGATGGAGTGCGTGATTCAGGTCAGGGTTAGGGGGATAACGGTTTGACCAATTTGATGTGAACTGAGGTGATGTTGACTTGGCGTCTGAAGCAAAAGCCTCTCCGTATGCTTCAGTGTTACTGTTGCAGAAAAGAGGCTTTGCTTTTCAGGGCTGGGGACAGGTTTTCAGATTAATTCGTTGAATTTCAAATCCTTTATTAAGTGAATGAGGAGTGGAGGAGATTGGCAAAGGTGGGGGAACAAGCACACCTTTCATCACGGCCTGAAGAAGGAAGCATTGCGACTGGAAATCTGTGCTGCTCCGCCACGCTCCAGGCATCCTCAGAGAGGATTTTCTTGCCGGGAGTACCAGTAGGGTGGAGAGCAAACGCTCTGTTGATAACAGGATGCTGAATTTTTCTTTCCAAACAGGTAGTAGAAATTTCCTTTAACTTCTGGTACAGACTGGGGGAGCACCTGTACAAGACAGATGATGCAGTCATCCACAGCATCTTCAAAGCCTACATACAGCGGCTTCTGCATGCTCTGGCCAGACACTGTCAGCTTGACTCGGACCACGTAAGGCTGCGTTTGCTTTGTTTCCTCTGGTGTTGCTGGAGGCAGTGGGATGGTAGGATGCATCTGTCCTCACTGCTATATGCTGATCACTCTCCGTAGCTATAGGGCTCTACAGGTAATAGTTTTGCAGTTGCAGTAATTGCAGAGAGACAATTGACAGTAATTAAAACTGCTATATTAAACCTCTTTTCATTAAGTCAATTCTTGTTCTAACAGAGCTCTCTGGCGCCTGCGTTACTACAGAATGACCCTTTCCTGCTTCCCCCCAGGTGGTTCCCATTTTGGGAGCTGCAGAGAGATGCTTTGTCCCCTGCTCAGCAGCATTTTTGTCAGAATAGAGCTTGCACAGTGTGCTAGCCACAATGTTGTCATCTTCCTCCTTGATGTCCGGGATACTTAGAATTCTTCTTCCATCTCTATGCATGTTCCTCATCCCCTCGATTTGCATCCCTTCGTCTGTGTTGTAGCCTGTCAGAGCAGGAATACACAGCGTGTGCTCATGATATTAGCATTCTTTGTGCACTGCTGTTCTTCAGATCCCCTTCAGTAACCTGGTCTGGGGAGAGGAAGGCAGGAAGAATGGATTTCTTTTGTAAATTGTAATTGTTTGTCCTGTCCTAGCTGTGGGTGAATGGGAGCCTGGAGTTCTGAGCTGCTTTTTGCAGCCTTTGCTGTCTTTGTGCCTATGCTAGGAGGGTGTCCCAGAGGAGACGGATGACTTTGGGGAGTTCCGGATGCGGGTCTCGGACCTGGTGAAAGACCTGATCTTCCTAGTGGGATCGGTGGAATGTTTTGCTCAGGTGAGTTTGCAGGAGGGTTTGCACACTGGCACTGGATGAGTCCTGAAAGAGGAGGCATCCTGTCTGTGCAGAGACTGACCATGTTGCTCTGAGACCTTGCATGTTCTACCTTCTTGCTGGGCTGGCTCATCTCTGCCTTGCTGGCCTAGTCTCACCTGAGCCCAACGGCTTTATCCTGAGCTGCATGAGGAAGCAACAGTGTCTTGAAATAGGCAGTGGAGACTGCTGTGGGAAGAGCAGCTTGAGCAGGTCTCACATGGCGGGTACCAGCTGGGGAATGGCACTTACATCGCAAAACAACAGTGTGAACTGTGGAAGGTGAATGTTCATATAGGGATAGGCCTGGAGTCTAGTATTTCGGGTGCGTCAGAGGAGGTGAGCGAGCAGGTGGCTGTGTCTTGAGGAGGAGTCGGTGCCTGCAAGCTTATGTTTTCAGCTTCTTTTGCGACTGATTTTTTTTCCTTTCTTGCAGCTTTATGCGACTTTGAAGGATGGGAATCCACCCTGGGAGGTGACTGAAGCTGTCCTCTTCATCATGGCTTCTATAGCTAAGAGTGTTGACCAGTGAGTATCGACAATCCTGCTTGTGTGTGTAGAGGCTGTGGGGTGAGGTATTGCCTTTGGTTGCCTCCAAGTCTGTGGGTTCTGCAAAGGCACTGTGAATATCCCAAGGCTACTCCTGGGAACGTGCTTTCCTAGGCAGAAACTAGGGTTTACACATTTAAAATACACACGCTATTTCAGATAGATCCCTTTAGTGTCCTGGAGTTCTTCTGAACAGTTAGGCTGGTCTTCTCCAGGTGGGCACGTTGTGCCTCTGTCCCCCTGGGAGACTAGGGGAGATGCCAAGTTTGGTGTATGCTTGCTGGCTCATATTATCCTTGTCAAGGCTGCTCTCGTTGCCTTTATCTAAGTTTTTGTTACTGCTTTGTTTCTGAAAGTGTGAGCCTCTCGTGACCTTGCATTGCTGGCTGGAGAGGGAGTTCGGTCCCCGTGAGCGTGTCCTGCGTTGCTTGGGAGGTTCTTGTGTCGACCTGCTCCATCGAGCATGGCTCTGCTCTTGCCACGAGAGGGCAGGCGGTGCTGTCTAGGATGGATGTGGGCTGCACGGTGCTTGGGAGTGGTAGCTGCCTCCCACGCGCGAAGCAGACTCCTCTGGCTTTCTGCAGTCTCTGGAGGATTAAGTAGCTGGGTTTGATGTTTCCTTTATTTTTGTGCCGCTGACGCTCTTACTGAAGGTTTTTGATCCTTCCGCTCCACTCTGTTCAGTAAAGCTGTTCTCCTGGAGGCCGCTGTTCATCTGGATTCCAGTGCTGAGGGCCCTGATCCTGCACCAGTAAATGTCTCGGATAACTAGCAAAGTACGGCTGCAGGGTTTGCCTAGCTGGCTGCTAGCCGTGTGGACCACAGACAGGGCAGTTGATCAGTGAAACCGGCCGCTCTGTAGAATTGTTGTAAGGGAAGTTTTATGGGGAAAATGGGCTGGGACCCTCCTTAGGGCTAAGCTGGTTGCCTTTTTCCCCGCAGAGAGAACAACCCAACCCTGGTGGAGGTGCTGGAGGGGGTGGTGCGCCTCCCTGAGACGGTGCACACGGCCGTCCGCTACACCAGCATCGAGCTGGTTGGAGAGATGAGTGAGGTCGTGGACAGAAACCCTCAGTTCCTGGGTGAGTCTCTCCTGTGATCTTGGCCCAGTCTCTGCCTGTCTGGCTTCACCCCACAGACTTTGTGCTTTGGGGGCCAGCACAGGGGACACAACTGCTCTGCCCTGCGATGAGCGTTGTCCCAGGTACCGCTCTT